ATCAGTTCTGTATGGTCCTATCACTAGGTATGTACATCAGTTCTGTATGGTCCTATCACTAGGTATGACATCAGTTCTGTATAGTCCCATCACTAGGTTTTACACCAGATGCCAGATAAATAAAACAGTGATATTACATATATGGGAACAAGTTACTGCTTACTTCATTCAATGTCTGATGATTGGCATGGACGTAATTTTGTTTTATTTCCATGGCAGTTTGAGAGTGTTTACATTATAACACAGGGCAAATCGTTATATAAATGATATCCCAATTTTAGACGACGTCATAAATATGCAAATGATTGCAATTAATTCAAGAGATACTATTTACTATTATATATTGACTTTAAACCTTTATTATTATATATTGACTTTAAACCTTTACTATTTATACATTAGGACTACCGTGGACGATATGATTGCTGATGTACTTCAGTATGATAAAGTTTTATGTGTACATTAACAGGTGCGAGTGGTGACATCGCCTTGAAATGCAACGACCCATCTGGTGCCACAACCGGAAATACCACCACCATCACCACCGCCGCCGCCAGCACAGCCCATACACCAACAGCAAGCACAAAGACGTCATCAACAGCAACAGTATCCTCAACAACTTCGACAACAACGTCTGCAAACATGTCCACATCATCTCCAAAACCTACAACGCCATCAGCGACCATATCTACTGCACAGTCCACGACAGTTACACAGTCCACGACAGTTACACAGTCATCAACAAATCATACAACAACAGCAGCCTCAACATCATTATCTAGCTCAACAGCCCCAACAACACAATCTACGCTATCGACAACAGAACAGGTGGCGACAACAACTAAACCATTGACAACAACAATTAAAACAACAACTAAACCATCGACAACAACTGTATTTAAAACAACAATTCAACCATCGACATCAACAGTTAAAACAACAACTAAACCATTAACAACAACATCAACAGTTAAAACAACAACTAAACCTTTAACAACAACATCAACAATTAAAACAACAACTAAACCATTAACGACGCAAAGAGTAACAACAGCAGAGTCTGAAGTATCTCATGAAACAACAAGTACAAATGCGCCAACATCAAATGAACCGACGTCTCCCAAACCAACCATGGCATCGCCTCAACCACAAGGAGAAGATGGCGAAAACTACCAACGTAAGCTTATAAAAATAAAAACAACCGTTGCTTTAATCTTTCTTTCTTGTCAGGAATAACAGAATAATAAAAATAATAAAAAAAATAATGATTGAAAAGTCACATTATAACTTTTAAGAATACCAACTTCATTATTTACAGATGGAACTTATCCTAAACTTGTGTTACATATCCTGAATGTTACGTGTTTCAGTTGAAGTAATCATTCCAGTAGCCATTGTTGCCGGGATCTTAGTAATTTTTGTTGTAGTCTGCATAATATGTGTGAGGTATGTATTAACACTTTACTATCTATATATTTGCTTAATGATGCCGAACTTAAAGGGTTACTGGTCAACCCACCTTTTCACAGTTAAACGAAAGCTTGTGAAAGCATCTACCGAGGGCTTAATATTATGTTTAAGGGAAATCTTGAATATGTATTACAAAAAAAATACCGATTTTGCGTTAGATTTTCCCAGTACACATACGCACACCCAATTAATTTCCAAGTTTCACATTAGTGACATTATAAGGAGACTGGGAACGACAACTCCGATCCTCATAAATCGTCTTCAAGTAACATGGGGCCGAGGTCGAGACAAACATCATTGCTCAAAGATAACTAGCATATTTAATGTCAACATAGATTAAATCATATACTTAAATTGGATATCCTCTCGTGTGACGTCACGGTCCAGATATTTTACATACCTGTTTATACAGAGAAGGATCATTTTCCCTGTGTCACTGAATCAATTAATGTACTTGTTATGCGGAAATGATATCGCTGGTTCACATAATTAACATTTCCATGGCTTACAATATACTATAACTTACAAAATGATTTCTTTCTTTGAAAATTTTCCATCCACGTGGGTAGATGATGTAATACTTTACTGGACAACTAAAGTGATTAAATATTACTAAAATGTGTATGGTGTATGTCACCATGGTCCCCAGAACGATTTTAAGGTATTTTCACGAAGCAATGTTTTATCAGAATGATGAAGTCATATTTGGCCCCCGCTCAAGGTAATTTTGCCTCAGATCCACAACCAAATTTGAAAAATAATTAAGAGAGTCATGTCATTCTCCTTAAAATTTATTTTGTTTGATAGAACAAAATTAGATTTTTTACACATAAGTTTTTTTTTATGGGAATTCATAGGAAATCATTAACCTCAATTCGATTAACACACTTTATCGAGTGTGTAAGTATTAGATAAACATTCCTTTACCAAACATGCAAAACTACGTACACTAATTATGTAATCGAGTCAATTCAATTTAATTAAATTTATTTTCAACAAATAATTTTATATAAGTGCAACATATAATTACATATTACTGGCACATTCTTAATTCATCGCTTTCATCATCATAACCATCATCATCATCATAACCATCATCATCATCATCATCATCATCATCATCGTCAAAGTACAACAACATTACATAATTACCTGAATCGTCTAAGTACAACAACATGAAATAATTACATGAAATTCATGCTGAATGCTGATGATGATGTAGCAATGAGCCATCCTGAATTAAACTTGCTGAATCTGAATAATTTTTAGAGTTGAATATTTATTCAAATTAGATATCATTCTATTTACACTCTTTTCCGTTTGTGTCGGTTGTGTAATTTATTAAACGTCTGTAATAAATGATTATGAGAAGTGTAATGATACAGATAGAAAATACAGCAGAAACAAATGTACTTTTATTTCAGAAAACGATAAACAAGCACATGACTTAGATTTTCTTTCATTTGCAATAAACAAGCATGAAATAATGGTTCAAGTTCAAGTTCAAGTTTCATTCAAACTTTGGGCAATTGGCCCATCAGTATACAAAACATATTTTACATAAATCATGGACAATGTACAGAGGATGAAAACAATCATATAACGAGATCTGAGATTTTGGAATTTAGAACAGACCAATAAAAAATGAAATTCGTTTTCTAATTCAGAGGGGGAGTTACACTGTTTACAATATCTACGTTCTCTAGGTATATTAGTATACCTTCCAACTTCTATAGCTAAAGAATTGGTAGATGTACGTATTCGAGTTAAACAAATGCGATATTTCATTGGTATATATTTTGTGAGGTAAAATTGTAATGTTTCTCCAAAATCTATTATATGTTTATACAATAAACATTTAGGAGAGTTTTCCACTGTGGCCCTTCGGAATTGTATGCATCAAAATTCTTTGTTTTATCATTGGTAATAACAAATTTTGCTGAGAGATACATGGATTTAACCAAACATCACTAAGACCTAGATTATTTAATTCATCTCTTACTGCTATAGCCCAGTTGAAATCATTTCTACTACAACACTGTAATAAAAACCTATAGGAAGTTGATATAATACAATTTTCAGATTTTAATATCTTAAACCAATCAATTATCATTCTATTTTTTCTCATCCAAACTAGAGGTCATCGTCCCAATTCAAGATATACCATGTTGTTATTGGCCGATTTCTTCACTTTTAGTAATTTCTTACAAAAATGTAAATGTACATGTTCTATCTCTGGAGCTTTGTGCATACACCAAATTTCACTTGCATAGAAAAGGATACTGCTTACATATGTATCAAAAAGGTGGAGCATAGTGTTTACATTTAAGTTTAATGATGAACACTTTGAAAACAATGCAACCATAGCTTTTCGTCCTTGTCTAGCTAATTGTTTTTGTATAGATGCGAATTTATTGCTGTAATTTAAAATAATACCTAGGTAAGGAAATTGATCGTTACTGTATATAATGACAATGAGTTATGGAGTGTATCATCAATGTATAGCATTGGTTTTTATTGTAACCAAGACTCAGTTTTATATTTTGTTTCAGGAGCAAAGTCAGAACTAACAACTACAAACTATAGAATTAACGGATTAACACCAGGTTCGACACGCATGGGTTTCTCTAATACTGTAGCCTCAGTGTTGTAGTCACATGGCGTATTCATGTTGTAATTTATCGTTTTCTGTTTTAATTGTTAACTGTAGTAGTTAGTTAAGTATTGGTTTAAGTTACTCGACTCGAAAAATTGTATTCTGAACTGTGCATATTCTTTTTTATCAAAACAGATTACATGTACTTGCTTTAACTGGGTACACCATGTAAAAAATGAATTATTTGCTTTGGGCTTTGGTGATGTATGGTTAAGCCAATCGTCGACTAATGTTAAATTAATTTTACCGCTTATTCGTCAAAGAATTTTTGACCAAGGCCAACAACATTTAAGAGGTTTACTAGAGACTTCCTCTAAGTGTTTTTTATACAAGTGTATCGTAGACCACTTTTCCATTCAGTATTATTTAACCAAATATATTCCTAAGAATTATAGAATTAGTCTAACAAAGTTACGAATGTCTGCACATTCATTAGCAATCGAGACCGGTAGATATCGCAACGTTATTCGAGAACAGAGATATTGTACGAACTGTAATTCGGCTACAGAAGTCGAAGATGAATACCATTTTATTCTGATATGTAAAACCTACCAAAACTTAAGAAGTCGCCTTATTAAAAAGTACTACTGGAAAAAGCCATCCATGTTTAAATTTATACAATTATTGTGTGTTAACAATACTAAGGAATTATGTCAACTTGGTAAATATATTTTTGAAGCTAATAAGTTAAGAATCTAATTTATTTACTCCACTCTCTCACTGTATATTGTGAGCCGTGTTATTGTGTATATTATGCATTGTATTGATATGTTTGTACTGATGGGCCGTAAGGCCGAAAGTTAATAAATGAATTGAATAGTGTATATAAACAAGCACTCCTAAGCAGCAAAGCTTAGATAGTGCATGCATACTTGCATTTATTTAACACCAGTGAAGTAAGTTTTCTGAATGGAATAATAGAACGTTACATGTATAACCACACTCCGTGGAAATAAATTTCTATCTGTTTGTTCTTAATCATTGTCTTGTACAGTATAATTACTCCACTGAAGACGAAAGCCTCGAGTAGTGTACATAATTATACAATTAACATGCATGTTTCCTACATCTTAATTATTTACAGAAATTAAGAAAAGTTTTCGTCATTTAGATTTATATATGTTTTCCTTTCGTGATTTAAAAAACACTATTATCATTATTGTTTAATAAATACCTTTCTTGTCCCGTTTATAGATGATAACTCCACAAGGAAATTTAATACATGTAGTTAAGTTTATGATGTACACATTGCCGTAATGTATAGATGTTCTACCATGTACGCTGCAGTCATAGTCTAGCGGATGTTATTTAAACAGTCATAATCTGGCTGTTCCGATATTTAAACAGTCATAATCTAGCTGATGATATTTAAGCAGTCATAGTCTGGCTGTTCCGATATTTAAACAGTCATAGTCTGGCTGTTCCGATATTTAAACAGTCGTAATCTAGCTGATGATATTGAAACAGTCATAGTCTGGCTGTTCCGATATTTAAACAGTCATATTCTAGCTGATGATATTTAAACAGTCATAATCTGGCTGTTCCGATATTTAAACAGTCATAGTCTGGCTGATGATATTTTATAATCAACAGTCATAGTCTGGCTGTTCCGATATTGAAACAGTCATAGTCTGGCTGTTCCGATATTGAAACAGTCATAGTCTGGCTGTTCCGATATTGAAACAGTCATAGTCTGGCTGTTCCGATATTGAAACAGTCATAGTCTGGCTGTTCCGATATTGAAACAGTCATAGTCTGGCTGTTCCGATATTGAAACAGTCATAGTCTGGCTGTTCCGATATTGAAACAGTCATAGTCTGGCTGTTCCGATATTGAAACAGTCATAGTCTGGCTGTTCCGATATTGAAACAATCATAGTCTGGCTGTTCCGATATTGAAACAGTCATAGTCTGGCTGTTCCGATATTGAAACAATCATAGTCTGGCTGTTCCGATATTGAAACAGCCATAGTTTGATAATACCTTCTGTCTTAAGTTATTTGTTGATTTCAATTCTTTGGTTACAGATATGATACTTTGAATGGTACTTTCTGAAAAATACATGCAGATGATATATTATTTTAGTCATTACATTATGTATAGGACAGGTTTTGCCATGGGTGGCGACATCTAATACTTGAAGTAGTCGTTGAGTTTTTCTGCCTGTGTGTTTTATGTGGCCGTCGTGAGGTTATTTTGTAATGAGACATAATTATCCAGCGGCATATCCTGATATCAAATCGTATACGTCATATGTATAGTCAGATACCCGATAACGCTGTTACAATATATACCATGTAAGTGTTCACATATACTTCTCTACCTCCTCGATATCCAGGGGTTACGCTTACTTCGCTCTCTACACCCCCGGAATATGTCATAGCAAAATCGAAGGCTCGGTGTGTGCCACCTTGTTGATGAGACAAGAAGACTTGTTTGATCCTTTGATGTACATTAAAAGAATCTCGCGGTCGCGTAACGGTAGATATAGACTGACTTTGAAGTCGGGTGTCGCCCCATTGTAATATTCAAAGGACAGGTATCAGCCTAGTGATTGGTCAGGTTTGTTACCCGAGACCAATCGAACAGCTGTCTTTGTGCCTTCCGTTTTGCTATGAATGAGTGTAACCCCTGGATATCGAGGATGACTTCTCTATAAAACACCAACAGAGCTTGAGGGATTTATGTCATACTTTTTATAGCACAGATTCAGTGTTACAAAAGTGTTTACATGCTTTTTATGGTATTATTTTTTTTTTGCTTCATTTTACGCAAACGAAATTATGAACAGGTACACATTTATGAGAGATTACCCTTATAAGGGATATCTTAACCTTATCATTGCGTCTGAAGGGATATCTAAACCTTATCATTGTCCCTGATTTGATACGATAGTAACATTTAAGCTATAATAGAAACAGCCCCTACAGTATATACTTGTGCTGAGTCTATTGTTTTGTCTTGTAGACACCTTAAGTCGAGAGAGTTTGTGACAAATGGCGACCTACTACGCAGGGTCTCCGAGGATGTGAACGCCAAGTCTAAGAACGGACTACAGAACCCTAGCTTTAACGGCGACACCCTGCCGACCTCGATAACCTCTCTGGACCGGAACAGTCAGCTGTCGATGATGCGGGAGACTGATCCCGCCTGTGACACGGATGAGGTGACGCTGGACTTGGGTGAGAAACTCTACGAGAACCAGGCTCTCACGTATTTATAGTAATATAGGCCATTGGTGTTTTCCCTAGTGTTTACCACGGATCGTCTGTGTAGATCATACACCAGTCAACACCTATTGTCGCCAATTGTTCTGCTAATGAGGATTTCGCGAGGGTTATTAACAGTGAAAGGAACCAGGAGAAAGATAAGTTCCCTGTTAAATGTGTAGCTTTACGTGCTAATAACATCTGACAGACTGTCAGGAAGTGACAAAGGGCAGCAGATGAGGATATTTCATCCGCGTTTTTTAGTTCTTGATTACTTTTACTGATATGTCCAGATAGTCCTGCAGCCATACACCAAAAAATACGCAAAGATGTCCTAGCCACGGCCTTTCTCGATGAACTTGGATTGTGTGACGAGGAACAAAGTGCATTCGGAACACCTCTTATTGCAGCTTGTTTCATGCTCAGTAAAGTAAACCCCGCTTTCTATTAAGCACGTGCGATGGAACAGCTAAAACGACGACAAATATCATATCAGTTACCTTTTCAGGGAAAATATGAAATGTTTATGAGTTGTATTGAGGTGGTATGGTATAATTAAGTACCTATTTTGAGTATTGCATGGTGCAAATATATAACTGGGATTTTAAGATTTTCCTCAAAATGATATAGAACTCTAACCTGTGGCGTGATTAGTTTATTTGATCCCACATGTTAAATATCCTCCTATTATTTTCTACCACGGTAGATACTTGCCGCTGCTACATTGTATATAAAACAGTGCACAAATGTACTCGACACACAACAACACAGTTTGTGCTTATTATACGTCGGTTTATGAGTTAAACTGTCTAACGTTGTTGATATCGAGATTTGTATTACATGTAACTGTTAAGGTGCTTATTCTTCATTTTGCCAAGATACAATACACCATTCCAAAATAATTTGTTGCATAATTAAGTTAGTTACGAATTGTGTACAGGCCATGGACTTGAAAATGATCATACAATATACCACGTTTACATAGCTATGTATATGTTTTATATACTGATATGCGATGTTGAGATACACAGTTAATTTCGCCAACTACGAAAGTAGGTTTTATTCGTGAGTGTTCGAATTCGCGGCTGAGAGGATTCTGATTTATAAAAGCAATTGTTTATGTCCTCCCTTTTAACGGTATGATTTTGCTTAGAAAATGGACCTAGGATGACGTCACAGCCTACATGTTCCACTTATGGCCACAACATACAATGTACAACAATATTGGTTATGGGAGAAAGAGAATGTTTAACTGGTGTTGATGGAGTAGGCCGTACTGCTGATCCCGGGGGTTCATTCTCAAGCAGACGTACGAACCTTGTGATTGGCTGTAAAACATATCGACCGTAAATTGTGTGATAGACTATATTTTTGTTATACATAAGGTTAACTTCACAAGTGACTGATTTTGATACATGTGTTACGTTACAGACAGTGCATTAGGTGTTCGGATACACGGGTAAAGATGTTACTCCATTTGAGAAAGGTTTATTACAAGTAATGGTGTGACCGTTGGTCTGTTATTGGTCGTGTAAATGTTGAGTATATTTGTATGGTTTGTCAGTTGTTATGACATCAACAATCAATATGACGTTATAAAGGATACCATTGGGTAACGGCCATTAATGCTTCATCTATGATCGTGTAATACCGACATTTTACCTTCTTCTTTCTTACAGAAAAAAACCTTTTTATAACTTACTTGATACATTAGTAATTACTTTTGTCACTCGCAAACCTGTCATTAGATATCTGCTTTCTATGGATCCAGTACATGTCCTGCTCATATAACACGTGCCTCGTCAAGGGAAGGAGATTCCAATCTTTACCTGTTTAATCCAAAGCCCCTTTAGAGTATTACCGAATTCACTAGATTCAGCACAAGGGGCCTATGACTTTGTTATAGTTGGTATGTGTAGACCTATCATGATGTCACTTTGTGTGGACCTATCTTGATGTCACTTTGTGTGGACCTGTCATAATGTCACTCTGTGTGGACCTATCATAATGTCACTTTGTGTGGACCTATCTTGATGTGTTGACCTACCCTGATGTCACTTTGTGTGGACCTATCCTGATGTCACTTTGTGTGGACCAATCTTGATGTCACTTTGTATGGACCTACCCTGATGTCACTTTGTGTGGACCTATCATGATGTCACTTTGTGTAGACCTATCATAATGTCACTTTGTGTGGACCTATCTTGATGTGACGACCTATCCTGATGTCACTTTGTGTGGACCTATCTTGATGTCTTTTTGTCTAGACCTATCATAATGTCTCTCTGTGTGGACCTATCATGATGTCACTTTTTGTGGACCTATCTTGATGTCACTTTGTGTGGACCTGTCATAATGTCACTCTGTGTGGACCTATCATAATGTCACTTTGTGTGGACCTATCATGATGTCACTTTGTGTGGACCTATCATGATGTCACTTTGTGTGGACCTATCTTGATGTTTGGACCTACCCTGATGTCACTTTGTGTGGACCTATCCTGATGTGTGGACCTATCATGATGTCACTTTGTGTGGTCCTATCATAATGTCACTCTGTGTGGACCTATCATTATGTCACTTTGTGTGGACCTATCATGATGTCACTTTGTGTGGGCCTATCATAATGTCACTATGTGTGGACCTATCATAATGTCACTTTGTGTGGCCCTATCATGATGTCACTTTGTGTGGACCTATCATAATGTCTCTCTGTGTGGACCTATCATGATGTCACTTTTTGTGGACCTATCTTGATGTCACTTTGTGTGGACCTACCCTGATGTCACTTTGTGTGGACCTATCATGATGCCACTTTGTGTGGACCTATCATAATGTCACTTTGTGTGGACCTATCCTAATGTCACTTTGTGTGGACCTATCTTGATGTCACTTTGTGTGGACCTGTCATAATGTCACTCTGTGTGGACCTATCATAATGTCACTTTGTGTGGCCCTATCATGATGTCACTTTGTGTGGACCTATCTTGATGTCTTTTTGTCTAGACCTATCATAATGTCTCTCTGTGTGGACCTATCATGATGTCACTTTTTGTGGACCTATCTTGATGTCACTTTGTGTGGACCTATCTTGCTGTCACTTTGTGTGGACCTATCATAATGTCACTTTGTGTGGACCTATCATGATGTCACTGTGTGGACCTATCTTGATGTCACTTTGTGTAGACCTATCTTGATGTCACTTTGTGTGGACCTGTCATAATGTCACTCTGTGTGGACCTATCATAATGTCACTTTGTGTGGACCTATCTTGATGTGTGGACCTATCATGATGTCACTTTGTGTAGACCTATCATAATGTCACTTTGTGTGGACCTATCATGATGTCACTTTGTGTAGACCTATCTTGATGTCACTTTGTGTGGACCTGTCATAATGTCACTCTGTGTGGACCTATCATAATGTCACTTTGTGTGGCCCTATCATGATGTCACTTTGTGTGGACCTATCTTGATGTTTGGACCTACCCTGATGTCACTTTGTGTGGACCTATCATGATGTCACTTTGTGTGGTCCTATCATAATGTCACTCTGTGTGGACCTATCATAATGTCACTTTGTGTGGACCTATCCTTATGTCACTTTGTGTGGACCTATCTTGATGTCACTTTGTGTGGACCTATCATAATGTCACTCTGTGTGGACCTATCATGATGTCACTTTGTGTGGACCTATCTTGATGTCACTTTGTGTGGACCTATCATAATGTCACTCTGTGTGGACCTATCATGATGTCACTTTGTGTGGACCTATCATAATGTCACTTTGTGTGGACCTATCATGATGTCACTTTGTGTGGACCTATCATAATGTCACTTTGTGTGGACCTATCATGATGTCACTTTGTGTGGACCTATCATGATGTCACTTTGTGTGGACCTATCATAATGTCACTTTGTGTGGACCTATCATGATGTCACTTTGTGTGGACCTATCATGATGTCACTTTGTGTGGACCTATCATAATGTCACTTTGTGTGGACCTATCATGATGTCACTTTGTGTGGACCTATCATAATGTCACTTTGTGTGGACCTATCATGATGTCACTTTGTGTGGACCTATCATGATGTCACTTTGTGTGGACCTATCATGATGTCACTTTGTGTGGACCTATCATGATGTCACTTTGTGTGGACCTATCATGATGTCACTTTGTGTGGACCTATCATGATGTCACTTTGTGTGGACCTATCATGATGTCACTTTGTGTGGACCTATCATGATGTCACTTTGTGTGGACCTATCCTGATGTCACTTTGTGTGGACCTATCATGATGTCACTTTGTGTGGACCTATCATGATGTCACTTTGTGTGGACCTATCATGATGTCACTTTGTGTGGACCTATCTTGATGTGTGGACCTACCCTGATGTCACTTTGTGTGGACCTATCCTGATGTCACTTTGTGTGGACCTATCCTGATGTCACTTTGTGTGGACCTATCCTGTCAGGAGACAGTGTAAGGTGACAGTGTAAGGTGACAGTGACAATGTAAGGTGACAGTGTAAGGTGACAGTGTAAGGTGACAGTGACAATGTAAGGTGACAGTGTCAGGAGACAGTGTAAGGTGACAGTGTAAGGTGACAGTGACAATGTAAGGTGACAGTGACAATGTAAGGTGACAGTGTCAGGAGACAGTGCAAGGTGACAGTGTAAGGTGGTATATGTTTGTGACTAACAATACGTACGTAGTGCGAGTTAGCAATGCATGGAGTTGGATTGAACATATTGTACATACTATTTATTAAATTATTCCGTAAATATTATTTTGAAAAAAGAATGTATTCATATAAATACAACCGTCCAATAAATGTATTCAACTGACCTTTTTGTTGTTTGATATACACACAGAAGGGAGATTAGGAATTCCAGCGAGACCGTGGGAGTTACCTCCCTTACGTAGGAGGAACTAGTGTAGCAACACCATACAAATAAACTGGTGACCATTTATAAAACAAGGCATGAATATATGCGATATAGAACACTTCTGGAGTTTAGTGAATCGTATTTAGTGTAATAATTCTTTGTATAACTTAAACTTAGTATAGTACACGTCTGTTCGTACGTAATTCAAGTTATTGCCTATACATGTAAATTGATGCATCTTCTATATAAAACTATTTATAATAAATACAGATGATTAATAGCAATAACCAGTGTACAAGATGTACCACTCTGTCCGTATATAGCTGATGGTGAATCATACATTTCTGGACGTACCCGAGTCCACTACATATCTACCTATATACTAGTGTGTGTATCACCATACCCGAGTCCACTTCATATCTACCTATATACTAGTGTGTGTATCATCAACATACAAACAATGATCTCATTTCTTTTATATAATAATATAATAATATAATAATAATATATAATAATATAATAATATAATAAAATAATAATATAATAATATAATATTATAATATAATATTATAATAATATAATAATATAATGATAATATAATAAAATAATAATAATATAATAATATAATATTTTATTTAAGTGTCACACATATTTTACATAACACATCACTTACATAATAACAATACACATGCAAAATATGCCCAGCCATACTGACTTACGATACACTTCTTAAAATATATATATACTAAAACATAGAAATTATTTATGATTCTCAATAATAAGAACCATATATCATACTGTACATGATATACAAATTGAATGTATGCTCAGGATCCGATGGTGGGAGAAGAGCGAGAGTGGTTGGGTCAATCCCTACCGACAAGTCGCCCCTCCCCCATCATCGGGACCTAGCACATCAAATACATATAAAATACATAAATTAGATTTACTAAAACCATTAAAACTGAATTATAGTAAATGGTGAAAGGTTCGTTATGTTGCCTACTAGAAGCAATAATATGAACCATAAATTACGAGGTATATAGTCATAAAAAATCTAAAATGCATATCAAGTTTTAAATACTACCACGTCTCCTTTTCATAAAAAGGAAAACTGACTTAGCTAAGACAGGTTGTAGCGATTCTTCATTCATAAGAAAAGAAATTGTTCGTTATGATCCATAGAAATAAATGATTGATCTAAATTACTTGCTCTTTTAAACAGCGGGACTCTAAGGTCGAAATATAGGTTACATTCACATAAAAAGTGGATTTCATTCTCAATTTTATTATCACAGCCTGTCATTTAATGGAGTGACTGGACGTGTATATCTACCCGTCTCTATAAGTAGCGGTAAGCTGCCACTTCTTAACTTGGCTAATACACTCCGGTGTGGTCTCGGCATTAAAGTGGTGACGTAATGTTCCGGTTGTAAATCTGTTTTGAATAAACGGTATGTTCGTAACTTATTGCCGTTAATGTTACCTTTATCACACCAAAGACTGGAGAACCACGTCTCTTCATCCTTGTTGAAAAATGTCTGCTTGATTTTTGACATAACGGATTTAGTTGAATTTAGAGCGTCATTAATAATATTGGCGATACCAAACTAACTTGCTATTTTTTTTAGCTTTTACATCCCATGATTTACCTTTCCTGGAAGACCATGAATAAAATTTGTACAGAATACGGTCATTATCCACCGATTTTACCTTACAACACAACCTAAAAACTTCAATTCGTTGTTTGGATACACAAGACATCCAACCCATATCGCCTTTTTCACCTAGATTGGAAGAATTTCTTCCAACACCTAGAAATAACTTCATCGCTCTATTTTGTACATTATTTATAATACGGTGTTCGGATTGGCCGCCAAATGGCACTACAGTAAAATAATACTGGCTCCACCAGAGATTCATATAATTTATTAAAAACGGGGAACGACAAATAGATTTTTTTTTTATCTGATATTAAACTGACCCAGCACCGATACCCACGCTCCCCTCCCACTTGTATTGCTGTTTTATGTAATATTTCTCTCACCCCTTTGAAATTTATTTTTTACTTCAGACCACTGATGATATTTTTTTTATTTAGAACATATACGTTGACTTTTGTAAATTTCAAAACCGAAGTTGTAAAGGAAAATTTCGGGATTAAAGGGAGGTAACTATGGAGATATTATACTTGTCTGGCGGTTGTTCCGAATCTATCAAGATACAGATTTGTTAACTGTGTGATCGTTAGTGACGTAAATACTGTGACCCTGTCGTAATCTGTACAGTAAGGTCTCACTAGCCTTATCCGACCCTAGACTTTGGTATGTCCTATGATTCAGCAACACCTCAGATTCTGTTATTTGTTATCGACGTTGATTTCAAGTTTTGTCTTTGTGAATTTATCCGGTTGTTTTATATGACTTCCGAATAAAGATACAATCACTATGAACTAATGCTAGTACTAAAACAAAGCAGAAACATATATGTATATATATATATATATATGGAAATGTTAATGGGACCATTTTAAATATTACTAAAACAGTTTAGAGAGTATTCATTATCTGTACGCCTGGGCCGTCTCATTAACGTAAGTTATAACGGGAAACTAGCTTTCCTTTCGTCAAACAACGGAATATATTCAACCGAGTCTGTGCTAACTATACAGCATCTCAGGTATAACTGACAAGATACGTTTATAAAGTTTACACACCTAATTAAGACAGAAGTTATGAGTTAAGTAACATTCACAACTTGTCTCATTACAGCCTTAGTACAAATTTGACGGTAGACGGTAAACATAGCTCAGCGTGGCAAGTCTTGTACAATGACAAACAGAAGTACTCGTAATATTTGATAGTTTTGAACAAGGTAAACAAGATTGTAAATAACAATAGACAAAACGTGGCCCGATCTGTTTAAACATTACTTGAAAGAAGGGAAGACTAAGTTTTACAAGAGTAAATAATTATACAGTATCTGAAAATGAAAAAGCTCAAAATTAATTAGGAAAATTAAAACCAACCAAGTGTCTCAGTATAACACGTGTCCCGTAACCGAATTGTACCTGCAGTGATACAAACGCCCACGTGATGGACAGGTGATGGTATAACAATAACACACGTAACAACAGGATACAATCGGATATACAGTTACATCTATAAACACGTTACAAAACGCATGTTCAAAGGTTTAATTACCAAATAAGGAAGTATTTATCGGTTTTAGGTTTTCTTTACAAAGCCCTGCAGACATCATTAATGAGGAACATTGTTCGTGTCATGGTGTCCGTTACGGAGTTGTCAGGTAGACTGACATACTGGTGTGTTTGTTATAACATGCAATGATTAGGTTTAATTTGATACCACACATGATGTATTCACAGGGAAAACAATTAAATATCACTCAGTATTGATACATATTCTACAGTGGCGGATCCAGAGGGTTTTTTTGGGCTTCAGGAAACCCCCCCACCCTGAGAATTTTCTTTAAAAATCATGTATTTTCACAATTTTCCTCAATTTTTCCCCACATGGAAACCCCCCCAGGAAATTATACAGTATACATGTGTCTGTTATATACACATACGTGTACAGTATACCTGTGTCTGTTATATATACATATGTGTACAGTATATATGTATACAGTATACATGTGTCTGTTATATATACGTACGTGTACAGTATACCTGTGTCTGTTATATATACGTACGTGTACAGTATACCTGTGTCTGTTATATATACATGTGTGTACAGTATATATGTATACAGTATACATGTGTCTGTTATATATACGTACGTGTACAGTATACCTGTGTCTGTTATATACACATATGTGTACAGTATCCCTGTGTCTGTTATATACACATATGTGTACAGTATACCTGTGTCTGTTATATACACATATGTGTACAGTATACCTGTGTCTGTTATATACACATATGTGTACAGTATACATGTGTCCGTTATATATACATATGTGTACAGTATACATGTGTATGGTATATATACATAAGTGTACAGTATACATGTGTCTGTTATATACCCATATGTGTACAGTATACATGGGTCTGTTATAT